TTTTGTAGATATAAAATACATATACAGTTTAAATCATTTAAAACATGTATAAAAATCTTTCACCCAGCATAGACGGCAAGTATACAGATAATATGCACACGTAGCACGTAATTTATATAAAATACTTCATATCTATGTGTAAGATGAAAGTAACTATGCACTCACTTGATAAGGTGGTGACTCGGTATTTGGACAGCACTTCGTTATCTCAAAACAATTTTCCCTTGACAAAACCTAGTATCAATACCACTAGGGTTTAGTCTAACGTTAACCGCGACTAATTAATAGTCTAACTATTATTACTATTATATAAGCGTTAAGCAACACTCTTATATAACTCATAATAATAGCCCAAATAATTATTTTAATGTCCTAATAATGTTACTATAATTAATTAGAAACTATATTAAAAATAGCGTAGGCGTAGCTCACTTACAGTGGGTTTTCTCGAAAACCGGGCTTCGCTTGGAGCAGCGTTTCTGTAACGCCCGTGTTTCTAGGCTAGGCATTAATATTGACTTAATAGTCTAGGTTAACCTTTGTAACTCATTTTGAAGAAATGAAAAGGAATTATGTGAATATTATGTGAAAATTATGTGTTTTAATTAATTAAGAATAAAAATGAGCGTCGAAAATAAATATTAGATAAAGCCAATATCTATTAAGAAAGTCGTATTGGTCGTGACAAGGATTATGGATATATAAAGAATACCAAAATCCGAGTTATAACGAAGAAGTTATGACATGTCGAAGTTTCGCGACAAAACCGGCACTGTGCCGAATGTCGTAAAAAGTGAGTTTTTGATAAACTACTTTTTAGCCTTAGTGATCTAAACAAAAGTCGTAGTGTTCGTTAAACCGATAGTATGTATAAAAAGAACGTCCAAATCTGACTTCGTATGAGGAAGTTATGATTTTTTTAAGTTTCAGCTTAGCATTAGACAGCTACAAACTCCAAATTTAGATCGAGTGATTTTTAGCCGACTCAACCTAAACGAGAATCGAAGGTCTCATCAATAGTAGTACAACGGTAAAAAGACAGACGAAAACGGACGTCGGATGAAGAAGTTATGAATTTTTAACGGATTTCCTGTCCCGGTCTGTTAAAAATAATAATATAAAAATTAAATTCAAAATTAGCCGACGAAGTCTAAACGAAAGTTGTAGAGCGTAATTTTACCTACGCGTGCATATAAAGAACGTCAAAAACGGAGCCCGTATGCGAAAGTTATGGATTTTAGAAGTTTTGGCACAAAAATCAAGGAAAAAAATGCCAAATCCGAGAAATTTCGCATGGTGGGACTTCGGCCACGTCACCTTCGCTGCATGCGCGCCACGTGTCCGAGACTGTTGAGTCACCGAGGCCACCTGGCGAGGCGTGTCGCCTTCCCTCGCATCCGAAGTGCGGTCCAATGGGTGTCCGACGCGTGCCTTCTCATGAGGTGTCCGACCTTCGCATGGTGTGCCACGACCGAACCCTCGGACCGTAGACCTCGGTCCAATCAGGAGGCTACACCAGGACCCTCGCACGTGCGAGCCATGTGCTTCCGCTTCGGATCTGCTGACGCGTGGAGACTTCTCAGCCCTTGGATCAGAAGCCTCGCCCCTATAAATAGAAGGGTGCGAGACCTCCCGGGTATATTTTGGAAACTTGTCATTTTTAACCCCCTTTCAATATTTCTTTCATTCCAACTTCCCCCAAAGCCCCGCTACTATACCAAACACCCGAAATACGCCCCGAAGTACCCAAGAAGCCCGAGAAATTTATCTTTTCGGTTTTGAAGCCCAACCTTCGCAGAGTCCGGTTTCTCAATAAAACTCTCGGTTTTATTAGAAACGATCCTTTTAGGAAACAAAGTGCTGCCCGATTATCATTAAATCAAGTGAGTGTATAGTCACCTTCATCTTACACCTAGATATGAAGTATTTTCTATAAAATACGTGCTATATGTAATTGTATTAATTGTTTAATTGAGGTGACTGTTGAATAGATATTTTATACAAGTTTTAAACTGTATATGTATTTTTATCTACAAATATGTTGGGTAAAACATGGGTAGATAGTTGATGTGTGATGAAATAAAATGATGAGAGACCTCGATGTGATAGTGATCCAGTCATCTAGCGGAGTATGGATGACGACCACAGACTTTTCTAGACAGTCCAGTGGAACGCTGGCAGGTTCGCAACCTGTAGGTGTTAATGAGCTTGGGTGTTCATTTGCTGTACTCCATCCCCCACATGGTTGCCTTATTTGACATAAATTGTTGGGAAACCCCCAAAGCAGTGTTGTCGCCCCGATGAAAATCCTTAGGCTAGGTCCCTTGTGATAGGTGTTTAGGGACGTAAAGTGAGGATAACGGGAATGGGTAATCAGCGTTATTGTTGATTGATGAACTTAATAAGTTTATTATTATTGTGGGTTGAAAACCCTATATGCTCACCAGGCTCCCAAGCCTGACCCACTCAGCTTTTTATCTTACAGGTAGTGGACCCCGAGCATAGTCGAATGATGATGAGAGATTTTTGGATTATAGGCCAGTAGTTGTAAATAACTGTTGAAAGGCTTATAATGTCTTGTTTATGCTTTTAATCTGTATCGGAACATGACATCCTGAGGTTTTGATATAAAAGGAAAATATACACTTTCTTAAAGAAAGGTTTTGATAAATTTTTATCATGTTTTGTTTTGGGGACCAATTCCGCAACATCTTTTAAAAGGATTTCTCTGACTTTATTTTAAAAGCATAAATTAAATCGGTCTTTTCTGGCTGAGAAATTAGGGGATGTCACAGTTTCCGAACCGAAAGACCCTTTTTTCTCGGGACTCCGGGAGCCTCGGGGCTTCCTTCGGGTGCTAGCGGGTTTACCTAGGCTTAGGGGGGGTTTGGGGGGTAGTGAGAAAAAGTAGAGAGAGAGAGAGAGAGAGAGAAGTGGGAATGAAGTGAGAAATGAGGGCTGCCTTCGCTCCCTTTTATAATCACCAGTTGCGGAGTACGCTGGGCGTTCCTGCGAGGGTACGCGGGGCGTACCTCGTACGCAGGGCGTTCCGGCCTTACGCTGTGCGTTCGTACAGACAAGTGTCCGAATCCGGGTGGGGCGACGTGGATCATTCCGAGACCAAGCGAATCCGAACGCGGGGCGTTCCCCTCTCGTACGCGCTGCGTAGCGAGCCAGCTGTCACCCATCCGAGGCGAGTCCGTGATCAGCAAGCGACGGCCCAGATCGAGCCACGTCATCATTCTCGCATCAGATTTCGCAAATTCACTTTCCGACTTCTAAAAATCATAAGTTTCGCATACGAGCTCCATTTTCGACGTTCTTTATATCAACGCGTAGGCGGGAACGTACTCTACAACTTTCGTTTAGACTCCGTCGGCTAATTTTGACTTTATTTTAAAAGTCATATTTTTAACAGGCCGGGACAGGATTGGTCCGTTAAAAATTCATAACTTCTTCATCCGACGTCCGCTTTCATCTATCTTTTTATCGTTACGCTACTATTAACGAGATCTTCGATTCTCGTTTAGTTTGTGTAGGCTAAAAACCGCTCGATCTAATATTCGAACTTCGGGTTGTACACTGCTAAGCCGAAACTTCGAAAAAATCATAACTTCCTCATACGAAGTCAGATTTGGGCGTTCTTTTTATGCATGCTCTCGGTTTAACGTATTTTACGACTTTCGTTTAGATTGCTAAGGCTAAGAGTCGCTCTATCGTAAATGCACAATTTACGCTTCCCGGTGTCGTGCCAGTTTTGCCGTAAAACTTCGACGGGTCATAACTTTTTCGTTATAAATCAGATTTCGGCGTTCTTTATATGTACGGAACCCTTGTAACATATACTACCACATGGTTAAGATTATTTATTCTAAATAATCTTTTTTCGTAAAGTCGTTTTCGACCCCTATTATCTCGAAATTGACTAGCCCGGATCTACGGGCGTTACAGGTTAGCCACCAAAGATGTTAGTCTTTTCTTGTATTAAGTACTCCATAAAACTCTACGAACTATTACCAAATTAGTCTTAACCGGGAAGCACATTAAATGCTCTAATCTACACAACCCTTTGCAAGAGAGAGGATAGGGAGAGAGGCAAGGAACTCTCTACTTTTAGAGAGAAAAATAAGAAGAAAAACTAGCCAAATGTCTTGTTATACTTCTCTTTATATACATACACATATGTAGCATGGACCATACTAGTAATTTATGAAAGCATGATGTCTTACGAAAAATATAGGGTAAAAGAAGGAAAGACGACAAACAACATCCCATACTCCTTGTAAGCCTACGACTCTGAGGAGAGTGATGGGAGGTTAGTGTGTGATTTAATCCATCTCATTAGCTAGCATGTCATGTTATATATATATATATATATATATATATATATATATATATATATATATATATATATATATATATATATATATAAAAGCTTAGGTTATTTTGTTCTAACTAATTATTGTGTGGATGTAGGAATGATTGTGGACCAATCATTTTAGTTATTTTAAGAAAGTGATTAATAACTATTATTGAATTAAAAATAATTGAAAAATATCATCTAATTTCACTATAAGGGCATTTTAGTCAATTGAGATAAATTTAAAAAAGGAAAATTCCTGATTTTTTGGAAGAATTGATTCTAAAGGAAAATTTAATTAACCCGATTTTATTCTATCAGAATGACATTCTGTTAAAATGATACTTTTCAAAAATGCCATGGTACATATTTCTGCCACAATACATATTTTGATTAAATGAACTTCTTAAACAAATACAAGATTGCTGAACCAGCTGTTAAAATAACAAGATCTTTGTATATTCATAAATATATAAATGTAGATTTATACATATTTTTACAAATTAATAATCTTTTACATTTTAATACAACTATAACTATTCTAATAGAATTTCATAAAAATGAAATAAATTCTCAAAGAGAACATAACATGCTTAATATATACAATTCTTGAACCAGTGCACTTGATATTCTTCAATGGTCATGTATCTGCCAAAAAAAAATACACATTTTTAAATTCTATGTTAAAATGCATACCACATGGTCATAGCCAAAGAATTTTGTATTACAACCCAAACAATATCGGCCTTCTTTATTCTGACAGAATTGTATATCTCATGCTAGGAATAAAAACCTCTTGGATCGGTTTGTCATGATCTTTAGGATTCACAAACTCGGTAACACCAAACTTCTTAGTTGTCATTCAAGAATTCAACAAAAAAACTTGAGAAATATCGATGTATGTTAGGAATTAGTCAACTCTTTTAACACATAAAAGTAGATCATGGAGTGAGTTACCTTCATTGGTTCTACTCTCATTTAGGTCAATACCAATGATCCTTGAAGCCCCAGCAATCCGAGCTCCTTCAGCTGCCTGATATCGAACCAAAAGAAAATACAAATCCAAATCCTTTTCTATAATTTAGCCAAGTTGAATACACAAATAGAGAAAGAAACAAAAGTCGACTCACAGCAAGCCCTACAGCCCCTAGCCCAAATACAGCAACAATCATACCCTCTTTTGGTTTAGCAACATTCAGGGTTGTACCCATGCCTTCATGCCCAAAAAAACAAACCAAAATAAGTTAAAGTTACGCTTACACTTGTTGATTTTACAGAAACGAAATAAAGAAACCAACCAGTGGAAATCCCACAGCTAAGAACGCAGACTTTGTCAAGGGGAGCATCAGGATTGATCTTAGCAACACAACCAGAATGAACAACTGTGTACTCACTGAAAGTTGAGGTTCCAAGAAAATGGTAAATCGGGTTTCCATCTATTGAGAATCTTGTTTTTCCATCGTTTATCATTGTACCCCTATCACAAGTAAGCAATCTTCGCAGGTGAAAATGGATTACAGAGTACAATAATGGAGGTGTTATTCGTAATGCACATCAAATTCCATTAAATTACAGAAGCAAAAAGGTAAGCAGTGTTGAAAGAGAAGGAAGACTCACTTGAGAAATGTGCATCAGACTTCATCCCGATCATCAAACGTGTGGTATTGGCTGAGCGCGTGGCATGTGCGGAGCAGCAGCGACGGCTGCTGCGGCGGTCACAGTAAGAAATGAAAGAAATCCGACGGCAATATCCGGTTGCTGATCTTCAACAAACACTTCTTGCGGAACCCTAAATGCTCCATGAATACAAAGCATCCCTAATCCAATCAATGAGGAATACATTATGAGCGATCCCAATCCAGTCAAGAAGAAGAGAGAAATGGGATGTGAAAGGAAAGATAATGCAACTAAGACGATGAAGACAAGATACTAGTGGCGATGAGGATGAAGAACCAGCAACAGGAGCAAAGAGGAAGGCGACTGACGATGGAGAAGTAACATGAAAAAGAATGTCGACGTCTTTTGGGGGCTTGGATCGATGGGTAGGGTTTTAAATCATTAAAAAAAACCGATCCTAAAATAAAGGGACATCATGACTAATTTTGGATATTACTTAATATATGTGTAATATTACTAGTTTTTCCTTATTAATTTATTTTATTTATTTATTTTTTTTTTTAAATTTTGATTGGTCTACAATCATTATTACATCCACACAATAATTAGTTAGAACACTTCAACCTATATATATATATATATATATATATATATATATATATATATATATATATATATATATATATCTATATATATAAAAGTTGTAACCTTATTGAATCTTATGTTATTAGCAAATATTATAGATCTTTCAAAAACTATTATAAACATTCAAAGACACACGTATCAAATTCATAAACACATTTCTTACTCGATCGTCTATATATATATATATATATATATATTATATATATATATATTATATATATATATATATATATATATATATATATATATAGAGAGAGAGATGGATTTGGATTCAATGAGAAACCATTCTAAACTATTGAACTAAGGAACCAATCTTGTCTGTTAGAGAAAAATTTATCAAAAGCTTAAAAAAGTGTTATACATTTAAAGGTTAGATGCACATGCACCGGGTCAAAGCAAAAAACGTCATCTCTTTAAAAAAAATAGCTTAACCTTTTTAACGAAAAAAAATAAAAAAAACCTCATATACCGTTGTTTATAAATTTTTGTCCTCTTTAATTAGAGATCCAAATTGCTATATAAAAAAGAAATGTTTTTTTTTAAAAGAAAAAAACTCTCTTCATTTTGATACGCTTATTTTATATCGAAAAAATAAAATAAATATATCAAATTCAAAATTTTTTGTACTCTTTAAATAGACATTCATATAGATGTAAAAAAAGTATTTTTTTTACATTGTAGGTTAGACTCAGAATCTGCATCAAAATCACATTGTGAATTTGCTCCGCATATAATTTTGTTTTTGGCATTCACAATGTAAATGTAACTTACTACATCAACAGGTTTGATCATTTACAAATTAATTTTGTGAAATATAGATTTGAATCGAAGTATATTTCCTTGTAGTTTTATAATATTTTAACGTTTTAGTTACTTATAAATTGGTTTTGTAAAAGTCACAAGTGAATTTATTCACAATGTGAATTTATTCACAATGTGAATGCTAAAAAAAAATTGTATGCAGATCCGACTCACACTTTCGGTTTTTTTTTTCTTTTTTTTTTACAATCATATGAATGTGCATTTAAAGAGTACCAAAAAGTAAGAATTTTGATCTATTTATTTTATTTTTTTCGAAAAAAATAAGCTTAAATATTAAAAAAACTAACAAAAAGAAGTGAGGATTTTTAGTTCATTTTTTTTATATCAATATGGATGTCTATAGAAAGAAGATAAAAAATTATGAATTTCGGTATATTCGATTTTTTTCGATAAAAGATTAGTCATAAAAAAACGAAAAAAAATGAAGTGAGTTTTTTCTTATATTCGCGTGCACGTGCATCCAACCTTTTAATATGCGTCTTTTTTTGCCCTTGAACATTTAATTTCTAGCGGACAAGATTGGTTTATAGGTCCTTGTTCAACTTTTGCATATATATATATATATATATATATATATATATATATAATATATATATATATATATATATATATAGTAATTTAGTAAATTTAATGTGAAAATTAATGTGTTGTTATTAATATATATTCATTAATAATAATAGCAAAGTTGTATATACAAAATTTATAACAAAATAATAACATAAAAGTGATGTACTTAGTGTAAGGGTCGAAATATTGTAATTAGTCGAAGTATGTGTTGGTGTCTTCGAACATTTTTGTAATGTATTTTACTAAGGCATTGTATTCGAAACTTAATGTTTAGTCCTTAGTATATTTTTTGTACGCTTTTCTCTCCTATATATAGGAGTGTTTACTAGAGTCTTAGAAACGAAGTCTTTACAGAATATTCACTTGTACTCTGTAAACTTGAAAGCGTAATAGAGCCAAACAGATCATATTTACATTCTGTGTCCAAATTTCATATTCATACTTTGAATTCAACTCTGATTAATTCAATACTCGATTCTTTGTTTCATCAATTGGTATCAGAGCAGGAATCATAATCTCTGATCTGATTTTTACTTTGTTAAAAAGGTTTTTGAATCAACTTTTTGATTCAAAATTTTCCGCACTTTTTGAAAGTGAAAAATTGTCTAGATCTTAGTCTGTGATTCGATTCTGCACTTAATTCATTGAATCGAGTGTTCTAATAGTGATTTTGATTTGAATCAAATAGTTTGTTGTCAAATTTTCAAAGTTTCTTAAAAATTCTCAAGAATTTTTCCGTACATCAATGGCGTCTTTCAATCTGAATTCCATGACTTCATTTTCTCATCTTCTAGGATCATCCACCAAAATTCCTATGCTCATCCCTGAGTATTACGATCAATGGGCTGATCGTATGCAGGATTATCTAAATGGATTGGATGAAGAACTGTGGAATTGCATTTCTGGCAATCTCAATCCACCATCGAATGTTCAACCAATTGGATCATCTTCTGGAAATTCTGAAGTTGAGAATCAAACTGATCGTCTGAAAAAGCTGGAGAAGAGGTGTGTAAGAGAGCTAAGAGGAGCTTTGCCTCCAGTTGTGTACAACTATGTGAGGAGTTGTACAACTGCAAAGGAAATCTGGAACTCTCAAGGAGAAATTTCAGGGAAGTGAGAAGACAAGAGTTAACTCTGTGAAGCAATGCTTAGTGGAACTGAAGGACTTCAGACAGAAAGATGGTGAAATGATTGAAGTTTATTACGATCGTCTTAATGAATTGATATATCGATGCAATCGATATGGTATCACCAGGTCAGCCATGGAGTTCAATCTAATCTTTGTTATGGGACTTCATAAGGAGTGGCGTAGTGTGAGCATGATGGTTAAGAATCAACAGAGTTTTGATACGTCAACTTTGAATGACTTATACAATCAACTGAAGACTCATGAAAGCGAAGTGAACGAAATAGCTGAAGAAACGAAGGCAAGTTTGGGAGGTCCACTAGCTTTGGTTTCGAAGATCTCTGAAAAAGAAGCTGAGAAAGACGTTTCAGATGAAGATGAAGGGTTCATCATGAACTCAGATGATGAGGCAATTGCTTTCTATTCAAACAATCGTGTGAAAAAGTTCTTCAAAAAGCCTTTCAATTCGAAGGCAAAGTTATCTGAGACAAAAGGGAGTTAATGTGAGTAAAAGTGATGGGGATGAGAAGAAAAAGGAAGAGATGAAAGATACGAAGCCTGTTGAGGGAAAGACAGAGAAGAAGTTAAAGGGAGATGCTGGGATTGATTGTCATTATTGCAACGGTGCTAATCACCTTGCGAATGACTGTATGCTTCGAAAGAAGGATGAAAGGAAGAATAAGGTCAAGGATGAGGCGTACTATGCTGAGAAGCTGGAGGAGGTTCGTGCTAAAGCCAAAAATTTGTCTCTGGTTGCAAAGGGTGCGAATGAGGATGAAGAAGGTACTTATCAAATCTGGTCATCTGGATCAGATGATGAGGAGATGCGAAATCCGACCCACGGGGCAATGTTTGCAAAGATGGAGGAAGAATCAGATGAGGAGGTATACGAAGTGCGGGGAGATGCTTCGTATCAAAAGCTGCTGACAAATCTCCGATGACCACAAAGGTACGAAATATTCTTGAATCTTTCAATATTCCAGTACATGCTTATAATTCTGAATTAGTATCTTTCGATGAAACTGTTATTTACTTTGATTCGATTGTGGTATCTGCTAGCAATGAGGCTAAGAAGCTGTCTATGCAGTTGCTAGAGACACAGAAGAAATTAGATTCGAAAATCACTAAGATAGATTGTTTAGAACTTCAAATAACTAATATCATGGTTGATAGGGATAATTTGTCTAGTGATAATAAACTGTTGTTAGCCCAGAGGAACATTTACTGTAACTCTGCTAAAAGATTGTATGGGAAATGAACTGAACTTCATCATTCATGCGAAATCAGTAAAGAACAACATAGAAAATTGCTGCCATTTTTAGCTTATGAAAGAGCTACGGTAGATAACATTTCGTATGAATGTGAAAAGGAAATAGCTGATTTTAACAAAGTTCCGAATGATAAGTATAGATAATGAATAGTCAAAGTTGATGAATATCTTGATGCGAATGAATTAGTTAACATTGTGAATGATACTTTAACTAAATCTGAACCAATTCAAATTTTGAAAAAGACTGATAATTCAACGTCTGATTCTCAATCTAATTTTGCTGATATTATAGATAATTCTGATAATATTAGTGAAATTAGTGAGTTTGAAGATGTTGATTGTTCTCAGTTGTCTGTTGTTAATGTTGCTTCAACATCTAAAGGGAAAGAAAAAGGTAAGGATTCGATGGTTGAAAATGAAACTGATATACCCTCAACTTCGAAAGTTTGTGAAATGAACTTTATGGATCTCAAAGATTGCCAAACTGATGATAGTGATGATGAAGAAATAGAGAAAGTTTCGAAAGAAAAGGCATCCTCAAAGGAAGAAGAAATTCCACGAATAGTTGTTGATCAAGTGTATGGT